GGTGTCCAACGCATTGCGATACGCACTTTTATCAATTGATCGAATTGTAACAAGACTTCAATTTGATCCGTAACAAGAGGCCACTTATTTTTTATACGTGTTCATGAATGTGTGTTTGTTTACTGTGTGCGGGGATTAAAAATTAAAGATTAAAGATTCCAGATCTGACGAATGTATTTATAAAATAGCGTAATAGTGCTGGGTTAGCCGATGCCTTGCGATACTTGCTTTTATCAATTAATTGATTTGTAACAGGACTTCGATTTGATCCGTAACAAGACAACACTTATTTTTTCTTATACGTGTTTAAAAATGTGTGTTTGTTTACTGTGTGCGGGCATTAAAGATTCCAGGTCTGACGAATGTATTTATTAAATAGCATATAGGCCTATAGGGCAGGGGTGGCCAACGCATTGCGATACGCACTTTTATCAATTGATCGAATTGTAACAAGACTTCAATTTGATCCGTAACAAGAGGCCACTTATTTTTTATACGTGTTCATGAATGTGTGTTTGTTTACTGTGTGCGGGGATTAAAAATTAAAGATTAAAGATTCCAGATCTGACGAATGTATTTATAAAATAGCGTAATAGTGCTGGGTTAGCCAATGCCTTGCGATACGCGCTTTTATCAATTAATTGAATTGTAACAGGACTTCGATTTGATCCGTAACAAGACAACACTTATTTTTTCTTATACGTGTTCAAAAATGTGTGTTTGTTTACTGTGTGCGGGCATTAAAGATTCCAGGTCTGACGAATGTATTTATTAAATAGCATATAGGCCTATAGGGCAAGGGTGTCCAACGCATTGCGATACGCACTTTTATCAATTAATCGAATTGAAACAGGACTTCAATTTGATCCGTAACAACAGACCACTTATTTTTTCTTGTTCGTGTTCCAAAATATGTGTTTGTTTACTGTGTGCGGGGATTACAGGGGGACAAGCCCATCCCCTCGACATGTGATCCAGAGTATGGGGATACATTTTTCTCAAAATGCACACAGCTCTGAAATCCTTGACCAGTGATCACTCGCCATGGAACTCTTTCTGTTGTGACTGTAGACACAAGTTTCTTCATTATCACATCTGAATGAGCCTCTCATTCATGCATTAGAAATCACACTCCCAACACACAGAAAATGACTTTGAACATATATTCAGGAAACATATGCCAGTTCCACTCTTGTTTACTTTGTTTTGCATTATTGGCTTTTATGTGTAAAACAATATTTAGAGGCCTTTTCTGCATTTTTGTGTATTTGGCAGCATGTACAATAGGCCTAGAAATCTATGTATTTTATGTGCAACCGACACATTCTCCAATCGTAGATCTAGTACTAATCAAGACTATATCTAGATACTTTTCCAACAGAGTTAATGTTCATAATTAGTGTTATTATCAAGTGTATTGTGATTGTGAAGATCTTTAGTAGATCTAGATCTAGTAGTAGAACTAGAGATCTAGATCTATCTTTATCTAGATCCCATCCCATCCCATCATTAAAAAAACAACAACAAACCAACAATACAGATACAAAAACATTGTAACATTGCCAATTATGACATATTGTTGGCAGTAAAAATGTACTAGACTATTTCACTATATTTCCTCTTCGAAGAAAGTTTTAAAATACTGATGTAACTTAATGTAAGGTGTCTTCCAAGCCCTACCACTAGCATCAGCGTGCATAGCAACGCGAAGCCTCGCTGTGCGGCGCAGCCAAAGGTGCCCTCAACTGGCCGCCATGTTTTAGTTTCAATTCCTCACAGCGAATCGGCGATCACGAAGAGGGAGTTCCGCTTCTATAAGTGTAGAATTCTGTGTTTCATTCATACTTCGTCGTGTTTTTTTTTGGTCATCTTGTCGTGGCTGTTGTCGCGTTTCTTTCTCTTAACTCACACCCCTGAGCAATTTGACGTTCTTTAGCACGGTGGGGAGTTAAACCTCACGCCTGCTGTCTAATTTAGGGCTCCTGTATATGTGTAGCCCCTGAAGATTAAATAAAATTTTTTTCTGTCGGAATTGCCTACACGGCAATTAACGTATGTATATA